CTTTTTTTTTGTGTGTGCGCCTAATTCAGCATCCATCTTTAGATGCAAGATTTGAAACTTCCCTAGTTCATAAGCTGAGCCACATGAAAGCTTGATGACAGAGTCTGAGGCCAGCTGCAGTTGGAAGAATCCGTTTGAGAGAGAATCCTACTTAGGCTTTGCCCTGGAACATGCTATTGGGCTGCAGGGAATCAGTCCAATGATGGATAAGCTGTGCAATGATGGAGCGTGCTCAGTTCAGGAAAAAAAAATCTAGAGAAAATTTAGCTGCCAAATTCTAACAAGTCTCTACTTGGCATCAAAAAATAAAGTTTATCAGATGTTCAAAAATTGACCAAATATAAGCAAAATTTTACAGGAAAGAAAAAAACAACCTTCAGTGTCATATTTTAAGTGTCCACTTGAAAGCAAGGAGTTGCTAATGCTTCTCAAGGGAACAGCTATAAGAATTGTTTTTAACTTGGAGCCCTGCCACACATTCAAATTAAAGCTGGATAGAAACCAGCTATTAAGTTGTTACATATTTTCAAGCAATAACATTGTAGCTGGTTGGCTGTCTTTATAGCTGCATGGACATTTTTATAGCACAATAATTACAATATATGTAACATGTGGCAGGACACATGGAAATTTTTTTTTTTAATCTTGAAAACCATTCTTGGAAACAGCTAAATTCTGACCCACATAAGCATGCATCTGTTATTATAAAAAATGTGTGTTTCTGTATTCTTATTGTCTCTCAGTGACTTTATTAAATGATCTTTCTCACTCTGGCTGCCTTCTTACATCATTCTTGGTATTATCCTGTAGACAAAGACTTAAAGCTAGTGTTGGAATTATCAGGGATTTAAATCCAGGGGTTCATGAATTCCCTGTGCTCCTTTCACAAGGATGTCAGATTTAACCTAAAGCAGTGCCCCTCAAATGTCTTGTTTGCATACCTGTTTTAAGTTTGTTATACTACTGGGTACCCTCCTGATTCTGTGTTATGGACAATTCCCTATCCCTTGCCCCCAACTATCAGTATCACTAGAACCAAACTAGCCTCTCTGACAGCACAGGAAATGGTATTGAGGTGTTCTTCATTTTTTAAAATTCCTTTTCCTGCACTTACAGTCCCCCTTTCCTTTCTGCTTTCATTCTCCTTCATCTCACCTACCCTCTAGAACTTTGCCACATAGTCCTGGTTAAAACATACAGATTGAAAGAAACTGAATTTCTCTAAGATCTGCTGAAAGAACTAAAATCCAGTGGAAACCCAAGGCCCTAAATATGACATTGCCTTTCCTGTTTGTTGCTGTGTGAAAGCTGTTGTATACCAATACTCACTAATAGGTTTTCTGTTGTTTGTTTGTTTGTTTTTAGATGTGGGGACATGATTGTTGCTGTAAATGGACTATCAACAGTGGGTATGAGCCATTCTGCACTAGTTCCCATGCTGAAGGAGCAGAGGAACAAAGTCACTTTGACAGTTATTTGCTGGCCTGGAAGCCTCATATAGATTTGCAAAATTGTTTTGGTTCATACAGCTTATTTTTCTAGATGGCTAGTAAAAACTCTTGTTTGTTTGTTTGTTTTGTTTTTTCCTACTGACATAGCTGGTAGTAAGCAGGGCCAAAACTGCTACATTTATTTTTTACAAGATTCAACCTCACTGTTTGTATCTTTCTTTCATCCTGAAACCGACCTTTCTACCAAGTTTGTGTTAATTGTTAAAGATCCCTCCCCCCCACACACATTTTTGTTATTAAGCCTTCCCAGATGGGTAGTATTCTGGCAGGGTCAGCAAGAGAACTCCTGTATTTTTAGTTTCTCTTTCTATTTTTCCAGATTGAAATGTTAAGTAAGCTTTGTACACACTCTTCACAGAGGGAAGGTTTATGTCAGTAATGCACTCGCAGATCTCTCTGCTGCTGTGAATCAAAATCTGTTTCAAGAGGAACACCTTTACCAATTTTGTAAACCTTTTCATTTATTCCATGATTTCCAAACCATTCAAGGACCTTTGTTACTCCTAAGAAAATGTTTGGTCCTACAGTTTTTCTTGCAGGGCATTAGTGCTTAGAAAAGTAGGACAAAAGCCTGATATTGCTGGAATTTTTATAAAGTGCAATAATTGGACTCTTTGTTAGAAAATGATTTAATATATTTCAAAGTTTGTATCCTATAATGAAAAGGAATATGGAAATAATTAAAGTCACAATGCTGGCAAGAGCAAATATTTAGGGGTCTCCTTTGACGGAACAGCTTGAAGACTTACATTTACTTTCCAAATGAATGTTTTGCTATGTTAGAAAATTTTGATGAACACTTTTACTAGAACCATTTTTACAGTTTATATTGTGGTTGTCAGTAACTCTCCTTATTCCTGCGTGGAAACATTACAGTGACTCAAACCTGTAAATTAGAGAAGCATATAAAAATAAGATAGCTGTGTTTATGAAAGTGTATGTTACTAATGGGAGGCCAAAGGAGAGGCTTTTTCTATTTGTTTGCCACTGTAAAATTTTATCCATTTTCTGTCACCTGCTGATAAATGCCCAAATGCCTTCATATAAGATGCTGAAGCAATCTGTCTTGTATTTGAGAAATCATTTTGGTAAGCACCTGCTATTGAATTATCAGTAACAATAATATTTTATATTCGTGATTATGTTTAGTATTTTTAAACCAAAACTATAACTTGACAGGTTTCAGTTTGTTCATGATTTATGCAGGCTGAGCATTCTTTTGTGAAAGCTTACAAACCTTTGTGCTGACCTGGAGCAAAACCTCTATGTTGTTAATGTTCTGCATACTTGAAAAAAAAGTTTCATGTAGAAACTCAGTTCAGGTTCTGACCTGATTTTACAAATGACCTCTGTATTGTCATGATATTAATTATCAAGAATGTATTTCACAATCGCTAAATATTTCAATTGTGAAGCATGAACTTCATTTTCAAACTTAGCAATTACAGTATTGGGGCATATCATCGCATGTCACTGATTCTAGTAGCTTTGTTTAAAAAATAAAGTTACTCTCTTTTGCAAAAAAAATGTAAAAAGCTATTATGGAGGAAGTAGTTTCATTCTTTGTGGTAGTATATGATGTTTGTTTGCTTTCATACTATCTGGATACAGAAGAATGTCTCATACAGTATATTATTGTATAGAGAAAATTTGTTTTTTGAAGCAGACAAGGAACTGGCTGACATGAGTACAAATTTCCTTCTCTCCAAAAATTTTGTTGAACTACATACTTTGTTTATAATGCAAACTTTTGTAAAGTACATCTTAGTATAGGCTTTAGGAATCATATTGACAGATGTGCTGAATTTCAAGTATTTCATTTGACAAGTGACATAACATTCAAAAACCTGGGCAAAAATAGCATTTTTACCTTGTTTCCTTTTCTTTGTCATGAAAGCATGAGTTAGCTTAAAATGTGTTGTTTGTTTTGTTCCAATAAGCTGTCGCTTTTAATCAGAATGTCTGGTGATGGAAGCTTATTCTGAATGGATTCCTTTCCTTGAAATACTGGGGTTATTTTTCTCTCTCTTATGGTCTTGTAGTTGCATTGTTTGATTTGTTCTTTTGTGCCTTCTGTTTAAATTATTTCAAGATTTTTCAGCTGTTGCTACCTAATTGTGTGGTATTAATGAAGGGTGACTGAAAATAAAAGTCCTCTCTACCCATTGTAATAACTCACAGTATTGTGTTACTCTCTTTACAAAGACTATAGATAAATGAATGCACCCACTGATTTGAAATATTTCTCTCTGTAGCTAATCACAAGTTACAGTTATAGAATGTTATAGGACAATCTGAGAGCATATTTACAAGAAAATAGGAACTTAAGACTTACCAGACTGGAACACACAAGTTGTCTAACTAGTACTGTATTTACTTGAATACAACATGAGGGTTTTTCCCCCCACAACTAGGGTGGGGAAAAAAGCCCTTCATCTTATAATGTCATACAAGGAAAACTCACTAAATATACATTGTCTATCATTAAACTGCTGCCACAAAAACCTTGTGCTCAGCAATGGAAATCAGCTATAAAGTTGATTAAATGTAGCTGATGCTGATCATGACTATAAAACACATGGCCCACACTAGGCAAATATGCTGATAAGAACCGTTTTGTCTTATTTTATCAAAATCCCTCCTGCAGCCCATTAAAAACACATAAGTTTACATCAATGTGCATAAAAGATTTTCCCAAATTAACATAGAATCTCATCTTTTACATCCTTTGACATCTACCGTTTCTTCCATCTATGCACTTCTTATCCGTTGACATTATTTTGCCTCTTATTTACATCTAATCTCAGTGAGATACATCCCTCCTCCCCTGACTTATCCATTTTAACTGAACAATGTTGCCTTTTATTTAATAACATATTAACATTTCTTTACTGGCTCTCATATAACTGCCCAACAAGCTTTCCTTACTACCCACATCTCTTCAAAAAGCATTACCTGTCAAGCTTTAATCAGTTTTCTCTCAAACCATTCTGTTATTCCCCCTGCTTCCCCAACCTCCACCCAGAATCTTCCTGGAATAGCATTCGCCAGTCTTTTAATCTCCACTTGTTGCTCCCAGCTCCTCTTCATCTCTTTCAATACACATTCACAGTTCATGCATGGGTAGCTGCATGCATTCTCGTGGTGTAAAGAATTGTCCCTTGCACACCAACAGGGTCCATGTCTTCCAGATGGCCACTCTCTCACACATTATCAACAGTCTGATTTGCTGGCTCATTTGCTGTCTTTGGTCCAGTCTATACATTGCCATCTCATATGTTAATACATTAGTCCATTGGGTTCTTCTCACAAACCTCCCCACCCTCTTTCACACCTTCTCTGAATAATCACACTCCCAAAACAAGTGGTAAGTTGACTCTGTTCTCACAGTTTTCCCTTGGACATTTTTCTGATCTGTGCAATCCCCATCTGCCTAACCTCTCCCTTACTGGTAATACATTCTGTGCCACCATCCACACAATTTCTACATGTTCTCACTTCACCTGTGCTTCCCACATCCTCTTCCTTTGGCTGACTATCTCTCAGTCAGGTTCCCCACTTCTGTTATTATGTTTCTGTCCCTTATTCCTTTAGAGACTTTTACTATTTTCCCATTTCTTCAGGCTCCCTTCTAACAACACATTGTACCAACACACATTGTACCATGTGCATATTGTACCATGAACTTCTCCACTCTTGCATAGTGGCTTGGGCGGGGGGTCCAAGAGCAAGGCTTTTTCCATTCTTCATTCCCTCTTTCCCATGTCCTCAAGACTTTTCCAGTTAAGTACCGGAAAAAGGCTTCCATTTTCCCTCTACCTCCATCATCCACATTCTGCCGATTTTAAACTGTATGCAAACAAACACCTCTGCTCAGCATTCCCTATCCTCCTTGTTTTCCCTTATATCTCTTGCCTTGCCACCCACTTCCTTTTGCTGCCTCAGAAAGAGGTGCACAGTTCTCTTTGTGTCCTTTGTTCTTGTTGTCATGTTGGGGGAAAACACAATTCCTACATAAAGGATCACTGATAATAATATTGTCTTTATCAGTGCCACTTTGCCATGTTTAGACAGCTTTCTCTGTTTCTAGAGACCTGTTATTTGCTGTACCCTGGTGATTGTCTTTTACCAGGCCTCATCATCTTTCCTTTTCGTGTCCATCTGTACACGTAGGATCTTCCTTCTGTCTGTTTGTAGCTGCAAACCACACTCTTCCAGCCCTTTCCAATTCCTTGTTACCATTATCATGCTCTTCTTTTTGTTAATTTTTGCCCCTGCTGCTTCACCATAGTCCATTGCGTGTTTCAGTACCCTATCAATTAACAGTTTGTCTTGCCCTATTACCATGATGTTGCCCATGTATAGCATGCACTTAATTTTTTCCCTGCCAGGGATTTTCACCCCAGTGATCAGCTTGTCTCTTCTTATTTTCTGGGCCAACAGCTCTGACTCATACGAAAAGTCCTGCTGATAATGGGCAGCCTTGCCTTACTCCAGATTGTATCTCAAAGTCCCAGCTCAAGGAACCATTTATCAATATCTGGCTCTTGACCTTCCCATACAGTAGCTGTATTGCCTAGATCGTCCTATTTGGGATGATTGTGGTCCATTCTTCTCAGGACTGTGAGCATGAACCCATGCTCTACTCAGTTATGCTTTTTCCAAATCTATATTCATAACCACAGTGTTTCTCTCTCTCTCTTTCACTTCTACCAGCATGTCCCTTATTAACCATAATGCATCTGAGATCCTTTGTCCTGGTGTGACATAGGTCTGGTCCTCATGGATCTGTTGTTAAATTGCCTCATTTTTTGGGCTAATGCTTTCGCAAAAATCATATAATCTGTGTTTAGCAGCATAATTGGTTGCCAATTCTCTAGTTTTTCTTTCTCTCCTTTTTAAAAATAAGAACTATGACTCCTTCAGCAAATCTCTCATCTATTTTGCTCTGCTCCCAGATTCTATTAGATAAATCTACCAGGTCCTTGCCTATACATCCCCAAAATTTATCATAAAATTTACTTGGTAATCCATCTCGGCTTGGTATTTTCTTTCTCCAACTTTCTCTTTGCTTCATACACCTCCCTTTGGGTGATTTCTTTCTCCATCTCCACTCTTCCTTCTTTGTCTATCCTTCATACAGTTTCATCCACAAATGACTGGGCTTTCACTTCATCCATCCCTCTACCTTTGTATAGTTCTTCCTAGTAAGATTGTGCCTCCTCCAACACTTCTTTCTGGCCCATTGTCCTTTTCCCTTCCACTCCCTTCACTGTGTGCAGTTCCTTTTGCACTGCTTTGAGTTTGGATGGCAAGTATTTACTCCATGTTTCTCCTTCTTCCATCCATGGCACTCAAGTTAAGAAGATCTCTTTCACTCTCTTCCTAAACAATCTGTTGATTCATCCTGTGTTCTCTGCAGTGTAGTCTCTCCTTTTCCTCATGTGCTGTTTGTTTTAGCAACTTCTCTAATTCCTCCTGTAGGATTCTCAGTTCTCATGTTGGCCCCTCTCTCAGCCTGGCACATATGATTAGTGTGGCTCCACCCTCCATGAGATGAAGCCAGACCAGATTACCCTGCGCCTCATCTGCATATACATTTTTGGAGCATCCCAGAACTTGTGACAAGAACACCCACTTCCAGTCATGCATGGGAATGAATTAGCATATGGCTCCATTTGTGGTGGGGGTGTATCTGGAGTACACATACATATTGAGCTGGGTTGTGAGGTCACCGTGGGCTGAAATGCTGTTGACTCTGGTAGGGCCCAACCCAATGAACAAGGGGCCCCATCAATGAACATTGTGGTAAATTATAATACAATTGCTTCCCAGCCTTGTGGCTAATATCAAGCAAGACTGGGGGCATCTGAATCCCAAGGCCTCTAGGCCTGGGGCTTACACATAAGATGCCTGCCTGGATTTGGGGAATATCCAAAGCCACAGACCTGTGTAGTGGCAGAGCCACACAGATTTAATGATTGAGCTCAGTTCAGTTGAATTATGGAACTTGAATATTGGGCTTTGTTCAGTTGAATCTGGAAATGATTGGGCACTTGAAATGCAAAAGAAGTTTGTGTTACATATAAGTTGGTGTCAAAGTGTTGCTTCTAAGAAGTATCTGTGCTAAAACATGCAGCAGTTTCAAAAAAAGTTAACCTGCATCAATTGTGGATAAATTAGATACATAGGTACTATATGCAAATTGATTGCTGCAGTCATGTTTAATGAAGTACTCCACCACAAGGGCAGGTTTTCCCAGCTGGTGCTGGTCCAACTGAAGGGCTCTACCATGCTACAGACTTGATACAGGGACACAGTCCTTTATTGGGGTGGTGGTTAGCCATGTTAAATCGGAAGCCAGGTAGAAAGAAGGTAAGGCAAGGTGGCACCCTAGAGACTAATTGGTTCCAAGAGAGATGAGCTTTTTTAGGCAGCAACCTGTTTTGTCACATTCTATGAATTGGACTAGCTGTGATTTGGGGATTGTATTGTATTGTAAGTGTAGAAAACTCTACTCTAGAACCCTGAAGTGTGTATGCTGGCCTGTGGGTTAAGGGCAGATATTACTTAAAGCAAGAGACTCGGACACTGCTTTGACCTGCCACAATACCAGCCCATCCTGTAGCAAGGACAACACAATCCCTTTGGTTGCCGCTTCCAGTTTGAACACCTTAGACACTTCATTAATGACCTCCAACCCTTCCTGGAACTTGACTGTTTCAAGGTAGCAGTGTGGGACAAGCCTATCTTGGCATATAGGCAGCCCTTTAACCTCAAATTACATCTTTCTAGCAACAAACTACTTAACTCCAATTTCTACTAAGCCACCAGGTGATGGCACAGATCTGGATGCTAGCTGTGCACCCCCATCAGCACAGACTGCATCATAGACCAGACAGCATGAATTATAACATCTGGAGTTCATTCACCTGCTCTTCCACCAACATCATATATGCCATTCCCTGCTTACAGTGCCCCTCTGCTGCCTACAGTAGTCAAACAGGGTGATTACTATGTAAAAGAATAAATGAATACTGATTCAACATCAATTCCAGTGATACAAAAAAACAACAAACCCTGTGCTAGAACACTTTAGCTCCCTTGACATTACATCATTGATCTCTGAATAGGTGTTCTTAAACAAACAAACTTTAAAAAGCAACTTAAATGCAAAA